AGGGTCATAAACACGACTTCCACGTTTACTCACAGGAGCCAGTGGAGCCGCCGGAGCCAGGTGTGAGGGCAAAGTAAGCCGCTTTGCTCCGGCTGCCACTTGACCTGGGAGCCAGCACCGAGACCTGCTGGAAAACCCAGTAATCTTCTGTGCATCCAGCCCCAGCAGCGCCAGGGCCCATCTGTGCAGAGAGAGGTGCATGACACCATAGTATATGTGGGGGAGAGTGAGGCTTAGAGAGACCCAGGGCCTGTCCAGCGTTTGAGCACCTGACTGGCTGAGAGGCAGTCTCTGCCTCCCTCTGCTTCACCAATCTGCCTGAAAGGGCAAAGGAGGAAGAGAAGGAAATGTACATGCCTCCCTCTCCCCCGGGCCCCTAGATGGGAGCAGGGGAAAGGAGGGGGGAGGAGGGGGAACAGGTGGGAAGAGAGGAGAGGAGGTAAGAGCAGATGGAGGAGGGGGGAGAAAGGGGTAGGAGGTGAGAGGGGGTGGGAGTAGGGGAGAGGAGGGGGGAGGAGGGGGAACAGGTGGGAGGAGATGAGAGGAGGGGGGAGCAGGGGAGAGGAGGTGGGAGCAGGGGGGAGGAGGGGGAACAGGTGGGAAGAGAGGAGGTAAGAGCAGATGGAGGGGAGAGCAGGTGGGAGCAGGGGAGAGGAGGTGGGAGCAGGGGAGAGGAGGGGAGGCAGGTGGAGGACTGAGCTGGAGGACAGGTCTTCGTGGTCCCCCACACCCAGGCTCCGCATCCGCCAGCCTCCATGCAAGGCAGCTGGCTTTCTGCACCTCACCCCGTGTGGTCACCACAGTGCCAGCTGGGCCGTGTGAGCTGCCCTGGCATCACACAGGAGTGCAAGTGTCCTAGTCCGGAGCCAGAGGAGATGCTGGTGTGAGGACAGAGGGGGCGGGCACTGGGGCTGAAGGGGCGATGCTGGGGCGCAGGGGGGGCGGGCACTGGGGCTGAAGGGGCGATGCTGGGGCGCAGGCTGCAGCTCTCCTGGTTGTGGCTGCTGCCCCAGGGACAGAACGTGGTTTTACTTCCTCAGTCTTGGCTGGAGCCTGGGTGTGGGGGAAATGAAACCCATGGCCCCGGGCAGTGGGTCGCCGAGTGGACCCAGGAACCCCGCTCGTGGGAATCCAACAAGTCACATGGCGAGCTCCAGGCCTCCACGAGGGTCCCGGAGTCCTGCAGGGACTTTGGCCATCTGGGGAAGAGGGACGCACAGGAGGGTTAAGTATTCCAGCAACTTCCTATGCTCTGCACCTGCTGGGGCCAGCCCAGGTAGGGACTGAGTAAACGGATGACTGTCTGGAGGAAATAGGTTGGCTGAGAGGAATATGCAAACACATAAACCAAGGCCTCACCCTCTAAGGACTAGGTGGTGGGTGGCCCATCCGAAGGCCACTGACCTTAGGGCTCCTATAACAAGTTGGGCGTAGGCTGGGGAATTCCTCCCCAAAACACGCTGGCAGATGGTCTGGGGCTGGGATGGAAAAATCAATGCCTGCCGTTCTCAAGACCAAATGTGTAGGACCTGATGGGAAGTGTGGTCTCAGGAACTTCCTTCCCCCAAACAGAGGACACAGGTAGAATGTGTGTGCACATGCGCACACACCCCCTCCACAGGGTATACGTCCTTAGCTCATCCCAGCTCTAATCGGCTAGGCCTAATCCCTGCGGCCTCTTCCGCCCTGCTGGGCCATCTGGTGGAGCCGGCAGAGAGACTGGGGAGTCTCCACTCTCAGGTAGAGGGTGCCAGTGTCTTCTGGGGTAAGCATGCCTCCTGGGCACCCCCAGGCGGCTCTCCTGGTCTCAGAGGTGCTCTCTGGGTAAAGGCTGTGATGCCAGGGATAACAAAGGGCTCAGGCCTGTGCTCAGGGGTTACACAGGCCGGGCAGCTGGAGGCCTCCACTCTGGGGGTCATGTGGCTAGATGAGGCTACTCATCTCCAGGCTGTGGGAGCCCAGCTTTGGGGGCAGCACACAATGGTCCCACCTTTTGAAATGGCCTGTCCTCATCAGGACTGCCGGCGAGGGGGCTGGTGACAGGCTGGGAGCAGGCTGGCAGAGTGTCTGTCCGTCTGCGTCGCCCACATGTCTACTGAGCTCAGCGCCCAACTTTTTTGCTCAAGGCTGGAACTCTACCACTTGAACTCTACCATGGCTCCAGTTCCAGCTCTTTGGTGGTTATTGAAAATAAGATTCTCATGGAAGCAGTGGCTCACGCCTGTAAGCCTAGCTACTCAAAAGGCTGAGATCTGTGGATCGCAGTTCAAAGCCAGCCCCCACCAGAAAACCGGAAATGGCACTGTGGCTCAAGTAGTAGAGTGCTAGCCTTGAACTGAAGAGCTGAGGGACAGCGCCCAGGCCCAGAGTTTAAACCCCATGACCAGACCGACAACAACAACAAAAAAATCTCATGGATTTTCCTTCTGGAACTGACTTTAAGCTATGATCCCTAAATCTCCTGGATTTTCCTTCTGGAACTGACTTTAAGCTATGATCCCTAAATCTAAGCCTCACAAGTAGCTAGGATTACAGGCGTGAGCCACCAGCCCCCACTTTGTTTGTCGTTGGAGACAGGGCCTTGTCTTGTAGTCCAGTTTGGCCTCCAATTTGCAATCCTCCTGCCTCAGCTTCCAGGTGAAGGACAGCAGGCAGGGCCACCCTGCCGGGCTGGCTTGGCTGCTGGAGCGTGTCCCCAGCTGGCCTGCATGGCCTGGTGGACATCTGGAAAATGGCCTGCTTCCTATTTAAAATAGGATTTTAAATTGCTGACTTAAATGTAAGTGATAAGTCTAATTTTAGCTTGTGCTTCATATACTTGGGTCAGAGCTTTGGGTTCGGGTGAAAGAGCTGTGAACTTGGAGCTGTGAGACGCCAGGATTCTTTGCTTGTGAGTTTTCAAGCAGGAGGTCTTTTTGTTGCTTGCCTCCACCTCTGTTGCCTCCAGGGGGTGGTCCTGGGGCCAGGCCGTGGGGGCCCATGGGCGCCTGGGTCAGAGCTTCTGGTTGATGGCGAAATGGCAGACTGCTCTCTGGTCTCTTGTTGCCTTGAGTCTTCTCCATGCCCCCAGCTCTTTGAGGCTGTTCTTCATGTCAGAACCTGAGTTTTGAGGCCACGATGTGTCATGGCTTTGCTGCATCTGCCCTGACCTGTCTGGGACCTGTGTTTCCCACTTCGGCGTGTCCGGCTGTGGATCAAGCAGGTGTGTTGTGTGTGTTCCCAGGCTCACTGCTGGCCTGCTCTGTGCCTGTGGAGCCTGGCCCCTTGGGTTTCTGTGGGAACTTTGAGGTTATTTCCATACTCTACACGGCGTCCCTCTGCTCAGATCGGCCAGGGGTCACCAGCTGGCAGAGTGGAGTTGGTGCTGTGAATGAAACCTGGACAGGGTCATGGGCCGGAGTGTGACTGTGACCTCTGCGGTTCACAGGTGCCTGTGCTGAGCCCTGCCTCTTCCAGGGCGACACGGGGCCTTGTGTGTTAGGCTCCAGTCCAGTTCTTTCGATCCACATCTCGTTCCTCGCTGCCGCTGGCTGTGGTGTGGGCCCCTTCCTGACCTGTAGCACCCTAGAGCGGCACCTGGTATCAGGTGGCATTCGACGTGCTGTGGCTGTTAGGGCCACATCACCCTCCATCCTCTGCCCCCGCCCCATCTGGGACACCTGAGGAAGCCGAGAGCTGACTGGCCTTCCAGTGAAGTTGTGCTTGTACCAATAAGTCAGCAGTTTGCTGTTACCTAGTGTTGCGATGGTCTGCAAAGGGCCATCGTGGTGCTGGGCCCGCGCCGCCACCCACACCCACCCCCAGCTGGCCTGTAGTCTGTTGGCCCTCCCCAGGGAGGTGGGGGGGTACAGACCCCAAAGGGCTAGCTGGCAGACGCATGTGGCCTCCTGGTGCTGGAGCCTGGAGGCCAGGACCAAGGTGTCCCCAGGGCAGCCCCCTGCTTCTCCTCTCAGCCTGGGGACACCTGTCCTGTCCCCAGTGCATCTGAGCCCACATTTCCCTGCGAGTCAGATGGGACCACGGCCCTCTGATAGCCTCTTTTCATCCTGTGAATGTCTGAGGTGGCTCGGCCTGGGGAACCCGTGCCAGGACCCGCCCTGAGCACACCGAGGCAGCCTGTGTGTTGGGATGGGTTTGCTTCGGGTGGAAATTCCTCTCCCCCTGGGAAGCTAGTTGTCTCACAGGTTCCTAGGAGGCCTCGGGGCCTGGACAGCTCTGGTCCTGGCTGCAGCCCCTCTAAAAAGAGTGTGGGGCAGCACTGGAGGAGAGCGCCCAGCCCGGGGTGCACTGGTCACTCACCCAGCCTGGCTCTGGGTCTGGGGTGCACTGGTCACTCACCCAGCCTGGCTCTGGGGAATGGGCCCCGGGAGGCTGAGCCAGGCCCTAGGGCGGCCCCACCTCCAGCCCAGCGGGACCAGTTGGTTCTTGGAGCTAAGGGAGAATTGTGAAGTGTTCTGGTGCAGAGTCAGGGAGACCTGGGCCAGGGGCCGGGCTCTGTCCCGGCATGGATGGCTCTTGAGAGTTCTGGGAGACTCTTTTCCCCTTCCTCATTTTCCACTTCTTCTAAACCCTGAAACAAAGTGCATTTTCCTATGGGGTAGGAGGCACCGGAAGATCCAGGCTGGGTTGAGGGTCACCTCCCATGGGGACTGTTGGGGTGTTTACCCCACACATACAAAGCAAAGCCATGGGGGACAGTGTGGGTCAGGGTGATAAGGGGCTCTGGGGCCCAGCTCAGTCCTGTGGTGTCTAACTCCACCATGCATGGTGGCCGTCCACCCAATGGCTCTCTCCTTGCCGGGGCCCTGCCCCATGTCTTGGTAACAAGCTCTTCTTCCCACAGTCCTAACAACCACCAGAGTGGAGCCTCTTCTCAGGCCGGGCGATGGGCTGTGTCAGAAGGCCCGGGCCAGGCTTTGGTGTCTTGGGTGGGCTTGGGGATAGGGACAGGGACAGGCTGAGGGTCGCTAACCCGACATTCTTCTCACAGAGTGAAGGGGGCAGCTAACTCCTATTGGGCTCTCCTGCTACGTCTCCCTCCCTGCCGAGCCGTGACGCCCTCCCCACCGCCCCGAGATGCCCCAGCACATGACGGGTGACCAGTGCCTCCTCGCCGTGCCGCGGCTCCTCTTCACGGAACCCTTGGCCACCGAGAATGGCTGCAGCCGCAGCCCGTCCCACAGCAGGGGATCGCCAGCCTCCCTGCGCTCTGCCGACCTCAGTCCCCTGGACTCCTGCAGCCAGCCCCTGTGCCAGCCCCCGGCGGAGAAGCCCAGCAGCCAGGGGGCCGGAGACGTGCGGTACGCGTCCTCAGGGACACAGGGCCTGCTGTGTGGCTGGCGGACCTTCACGCCCCGCTGCCTGCAGGCCTTCAACACGCCCAAGGGCTTCCTGTTCTTCCTGTGCGCCGCCTCCTTCCTGCAAGGGATGACCGTGAACGGCTTCATCAACACGGTGATCACCTCCATCGAGCGCCGCTTCGACCTGCACAGCTACGAGAGCGGGCTGATCGCCAGCTCCTACGACATCGCCGCCTGCCTCTGTCTCACGTTTGTCAGCTACTTTGGGGGCAACGGTCACAAGCCGCGCTGGCTGGGCTGGGGCGTGCTGATCCTGGGTGCCGGCTCGCTGGTGTTCACGCTGCCCCACTTCATGGCCGGCCGCTACGAGGTGACGGTGCATGAGGGCGTGGGGACATGCCAGGCCAACCAGAGCGTGGCGTGCTCCGACCGCACCTCGGGCCTCTCCAGCTACCGGCTGGTCTTCATGCTGGGCCAGTTCCTGCACGGCGTGGGTGCCACGCCCCTCTACACGCTGGGCGTCACCTACCTGGACGAGAACGTCAAGTCCAGCTACTCGCCCATCTATATCGGTGAGTGGGCCAGCACGGGTCCAGCAGGGCGGCTGGCACTGAGCCTGTGCCTGCGGGCATCTGGCGGGGCTCGGCTCTTTGTGGGCTTCTTATTCACGGCCTCACCAGCTGCTCCCTGAGGGGCAGGCCAGCCGTGGTTTCATCTGAGCACCAAAGGACGCCTTTGGTGACATCCCGTCCTGGGTGAAGCCCCACAGGGCCCCACAGTGTGTGGGGGCCGGGGGGGGGGGACTGAAACCAGACCCACTGAGGGCGTGGCCCTGCCACCAGGGCCACACAGACCCTGTGTCCACAGGCAAGGAGGGCCCAGGAGCCAGCACTGAGCCTCCCAGACCTGGGAAGGGTTCTCTATGCTGATGAATGAGGATGGCCGAGCCCTGCTGAGCCCTGCCCCCAACAAGCCCCACATGAGTGGATACAACTAGATGTCAGACCCAGCACAGCTGCGTGCGGTGGACCAGACCTGGAGGGACACCGTGGTTCTCTCGGGAGGGCTCGGGGTGCGACTGACTGCCACGTCTTTGCTTGCCTTCCAGCTATCTTCTACACAGCCGCCATCCTCGGCCCTGCAGCCGGCTACCTGATAGGAGGCGCCATGCTGAACATTTACACAGATATGGGCCCACGGTGAGTGACCTGGCCTGTCCACCTGTCCATGTTGGCGCCTGGGCCCTGCAGTCCCGAGAGGTGGTTTTGCCCGGTGGTGTCCATGGCACGCGGCGCTGCTGGCTGGAGCAGGAGGAATCAGGGCTGGCCGTGGGAGGGGCACCTCAGGTCGGTGGGTGGGAGGCCTTAGGAGCCCAGCGGGGGGGGGGGGG